AGAAAACTTGAATGCTTTTATTTCTGATTTTCTGATCTTTACCTAAACAAATATGATAAAGAAAAGCATTTCTGTTGTTGTGGTTAAACCCAGTTCTCAACAACTCTGGGTGGCTCAAAATAATCAAAAGGAAGAAAATACAATAGAACATTAAAAAGGAGGAAAAATATTTAAAAATAGATAGCAAGAATAATAGACTGAATGGAAACAAAGCAAGAGTCTCACTCTCCCTTGCCAAAGGCCCATTGAAGAGCCAAGTCTTTACCATATTCTGAAAAATAGCAGGGTAGGGGCCATATGAATCCCAGGAGAAACCCCATTCAGGAGGGCAAGCAATGCTATACAGAAGATACACTTTCAAGGTCCAAATAGATAGCATTATTTAACCAAAGGAACTCAGAGCATACCAACTATGCAGGACAGATCAGCTAATCCATATTCACAGATTGTGGAAGCTCATCCAAGATGGAGTATCCTCATATATGGACAGTCAAAAGATAACAGAATCAGAATTGACCTTGGAGGTTATCTAGTTCAACATCCTGCTCAGGCAGGAAGTCAAATGGTTGTCCAATCTCTTCTTAAAAACTTCCAGTGCTGGAGCATTCACAAATTCTGGAGGCAAGTTGTTCCACTGTCAGGAAATTTCTCCCTAGTTCTAGGTTGCTTCTCTCCTTGATTAGTTTCCATCCCTTGCTTCTTGTCCTGCCTTCAGGTGCTTTGATTTGTTCTTCTTTGTGGCAACCTCTTAGATATTGGAAAACTGCTAACATGTCACCCTAATTCTTCTCTTCATTAAACTAGACATACCCAATTCCAGCAACCATTCTTTATATATTTTAGCTTTCAGTCCCCTAATTATCTTTGTTACTCTTGTCTGCACTCTTTCTGAAGTCTCAACATGTTTTTTACATTGTGGTGACCAAAACTGGTGCAGTATCCAATACCCTATCCAAAGGGTTTTAACCCTTTCAAAGTAACATGAGCTTTAAGTCTTTAATAGAATAGAATAACAGAGTTGGAAGGAACCTTGTAGGTCATTTAGTCCAACCCCCCGCCCAAGCAGGAGGCTCTATACCATTTCTGACAGATGGCAGTCCAGTGTCTTCTTGAAAGCTTCCAGCGATGAAGCTTCCACAACCTCTGAAGGCAAGCTGTTCCACTGGTTCATTGTTCTCATTGTCAGAAAATTTCTTCTTATTTCTAGGTTGAATCTCCCCTTGATCAGTTTCCATCTGTTATTCCTTGTCTGGCCTTCAGGTGCTTTGGAAAATAGGTTGACTCCCTCCCCTCTGTGATCTAAGTCATTTATGAAGATATTGATGAGTACTGGGCCTAAGACAGAACCTTGTGGTATCCCACTGCTTACTTACCTCCATGTAGACGTAGTACCATTAAGGACTATTCATCGAGTACGGTTTGTCAGCCAGTTACAGATCCATCTGATGGTGTTGTTGTCTATCCCACTATTTTCTAGCTTACTAAGCAGCAGGTTCTGGTCTACTTTGTCAAATGCCTTACTGAAATCTAAGTATACTATCTCCACAGCATTTCGCTGGTCTACTAATTTAGTCACTTTGTCGAAGAAAGAAATAAGATTGGTTTGACATGATTTGTTTTTAACAAGTCCACGCTGACTTTTAGTTATTACTTTACTCTTTCTAGATGTTTGCAGATCTGTTTTTTGATTATCTTTTCCAGTATCTTCCTGGGTATTGATGTTAGGCTGATTGGTCTGTAGTTTCCTGGGTCTATTTCCCCCCCCCCCTTTTTTTGAAGATGGGAACCAATCAACTCTTTTCAGTCCTCTAGTAGTTCCCCGGTGCTCCAGGATTTTTGAAAGATATGGTACAGTGGTTCTGAGATGACATCTGCAAGCTCCTTTAGAACTCTGGGATGTAATCTGTCAGATCCTGGTGATTTATATTCAAGATCAGATAGGTTTTCTCTTATCATTTTTTTGCTTATTTTAACTTTTATTTCTAGTCTGTCTTTTACAGTTAGGTTTTTGGTAGGTTGGACAATAATTTATTTTTGCATGAAGACCGATGCAAAGAATGAGTTAAACAGCTCTGCTTTCTCTTTGCTGCCTGTTATTTCCTTGCTATCTTCTCTCTTTAGTGAACCATCTGTTTCCTTGATTTTTTTCTTGTTATTTATATTGTGAAATAATTTTTTTTATTATCTTTGACTTTTGTTGCAGGTCTGTTCATTCTGAGTCTTTGCTTTTCTGACTTTGTCTGGTTATCTGCTGATATTCTGCCTTAGCTATGTGTCCCTCTTTCCATTTTTTTGTACTTGTCCTTTTTGTCTTTCAGTTTATCAGAGAGATCTTTGTGCAACCATGCTGGTTTCTTCTTAGATTTCTTGTTTTTCTTTTTCAGTGGTATTGTGCTGGTCTGGGCTTTTATGATTATAATTTTCAGAGTTTCCCAAGCTTCTTGAGTTGTTTTCCCCTTTAGGATTTTCATCCAAGGTCTCTTTCCCAAGCTCTCTCTGAGTTTGTTAAAATCAGCTCTTTTAAAGTCTAAGACTCTGGAATCATGATGTTCTATTGGTTCTGTTTGCATTATATTGAATTCCAGTATGACATGGTCACTCTCACCCAAGATTCCTGCAGTTTCAACTCCCTCTATCACTTCTTCTCTGTTCATGAGAATTAAGTCCAGTATGGCTGTCCCTCTAGTTCTCTCCTCTACCTTTTGGACAACAAAGTTGTCAGCTAGGTTGGTCAAGAACCTATTCAATTTCTCACTTGGTGCAGAATTAGTCTTCCAGTTGATGTCAGGGTAATTGGAGTCTCCCATTACTCTTGTAGTGTGTTTCCTACATATATTTGTTAACTGGTTAGCAAAAAGTGCATCTATTTTTTCTGCTAGGTTGGGAGGCCTATAGCATACACCTAAGGCAATGTCATTCTTTTTTTCTTTTATGTTGACCCATATGCACTCTAGGAGGTTTTCTTCTTTGATCTCATACATTTCTTTAGCAATATAGTGGTCTTTTACATAAAGTGCAACTCCACTTCCTCTTTTATGTGGTCTGGGTTTTTTGAACAGTTTGTATCCTTCCATCAGTATGTTCCAGTTATGGGTTTCATCCCACCAAGTTTCAGTAATTCCAATTATATCATATCTATCTTCATGTATTAGTAATTCAAGTTCACTCTGTTTGTTCCCCAAATGCTAAGCATTTGTATATAGGCAGGGATCTTTATGTCTGGCTCTGGACTCTGGGTATGCTTCCTATGTCTCCTACTTGGTGTCGAGTTTGTCTTCCTTCCCATCCCTCCTTACCTCATTATTTGACTTGTTTTCTATGCGTTTTTGCTTGGTATTAGGTCCTGGAGATCCTAAAGATTTGTCACCCTCTCCCCTCAATTTAGTTAAAAGCTCTCCTGATAAGTTGGGCAAGTCATTTTCCAAAAATATTCTTCCCAGTTTTTGTGAGATGCAGCCCATCCCTTGCCAAAAGTCCATTGTGGTGGTAGTGCAGACCATGGTCCAGAAATCCAAAGTTGTTTTGGTGACACCAACCTTTTAACCAGTGGTTCGTTTCTAGAATCCTTTGTTCTCTTGCTGGATGTTGACTTTTCGTTGGCAGTACAGATGAAAAAACTACTTGAGCACCCAACTCCTTGACTTTCTTGCCTAGCTGCTCGTAATCAGTGAATAGTTTTCAGGTCCATTTTCATGTTATTTGTCCCTATATATATATAGTAATAGAAAAGGGTAGTAATCTGTGGGTTTTATTATTTTAGTTAAGTTCTCAGCCACATCTTTGATTTTTGCTCCAGGGAGACAACATACCTCTCTGGATTGACTGTCTGGTCTACAGATGGCTGATTCTGTTCCCTTGAGAATTGAATCTCCTATCACCAATACTCACCTTTTTTCCCTAGGGAGTTTTGGGATATTTTTCTATCTATCACAGAAGCACTTGATATTGCTACTATTCTAGGGACATTTGATGATGCTTCTTTTCTACATGTCTGCATGTTTTCTTCCAGGGACAGTTAATGAAATCGATTGCTCAGCACCGGTGGTCTGCATCAGAGTGGGTTGGGTTGGACAGGGGTTTTGTTCTAGGTTTCTGTTTTTTTCTATTAATGACATGTTTCCATCTCTCTTCTTCCTCTAAGGGGTCAATTCTTTTTAGAAGTTGTTTGATCATTATTATGTTCAATTTGAAAAGACTTATGCTCAAATCTTTTCTTCTTCCTAGTACAATAGATACCTTTTGAAGTGGTCCACTGCTTGGCCATGGCCTCTTGGCCACTGGGCCATGTTAGTGTCTGGCCACCCCCCCTTGCACTGGTGCTAGCCGAGCTATGAGCCTCGCGCCGGTGCTAGCCAAGTCGTGAGCTGTGCACCAGCATTAGCCGAGCCATGAGCCATGAGCCTCGCAACAGTGCTAGCGAGCCGCAAGCCACGAGCCTCTCACTGGCACTAGCTGAGTGCTAGCCAAGCCACCACTGCAAGCTGGTGCTAGCCAAGCCATGAGCTATGAGTCTCGCAACGGTGCTAGCCGAGCCACAAGCTGGCACTAGCTGAGCCACGAGCCTCGCGCCAGCACTAGCAGCCCCATTAGCAGAGGCGCATGTTCGTGGCCCCATTTGTGCGCATACACAGCCACATTAGCATGTAAGCGCATGAACGCATAAAGGTGCCTGCCCCTCCCTTTCCCACCGGGCTGCCAACACTGTTTTAGATTACCTTACTCCTTAGCACGAAAACTGTGTTGATATGTGAGAGGATTCCATGGAAACTAATATCAATATGAGGCCGAACCAGTGAAAATACTGATAATAGATTACAATACCCCGGCTGGAGCTGAAATGTAAGTAAAAAAGAAAGAAAAACATTTTAAAACTTTGAATTCTGGTTAGTGATTGCAGTCCGTTTTCCTATGTTCTGTCTGTGGTGGATAGTACAATAATATTTATTGAACTAGTGCTCATATTGTACTGAATTGTTAACAATTAAATAATGGACTTTTTTGCATAAATATTAAATTGAATAAGAGTTGTTCACACTGTCCAAGCTCCAGGATGAGAATCCTATCTTCAATGACACTGAGCAAGGAAATATTCTAAAGCAGTATTTTTCAACTTTGCATGATGGCTGGGTAATTCTGGAAGTTGAAGTCCACATATTAAAGTTGCCAAGATTGAGAAATGCTGTTCTAAATGATCTCTATGCTCTCTTTGTTTTCTATAATCTACAGCAGTAATTCAAGCAACACTTCTAGAAATTAATGGTCACTTCTTTTTGACAGAGAGTCTGTTCCCACATTTCATGTTTACATTGATTCAGGCTGCATAGGTTAAAATAAATTCAGATGGACTCTTTATGAAAAAGAGTTTTAGGATGAAAAACTCTAGGCTTTTCATGAAGGATTGTATTCCATTGTCATACTTTATGAAAATCAACCTGAAAAGGGTGGGAGGAGGAAAGGAAGAAGCATAAATAATATAAATATTTTTAAATGATGGAATACTTAATATTTGCTAATTTAGACAGGAAAAAAACCTTTTCAGCTGGTAACATAGGCATAGCTAACTATGAAGTGAAAACTATTTAAAATATATAAGTGTTTAAACTACACCAGTCATGGCTTATGCTTGTTTTTCAGCATTAATGTTTTTTTAAAACAAAATGTTTAAAAGATTGATTACTAAAACTCCATGTGTGCAGATTCAGATATAATACTAAAAAGGAAGAAATGTGAAATACATTTCATAGTCCAAGTGGTGCTTACAAAATATTGAATAATAGAACTGGTATAAAAAAGTGAATAGTAGCACTTGAGTAGGATGGTAGAAGGGCTGGAATTCAAAAGCTTTGCAGGAAAAACAAGAATTCTTACCTGAGGAAGGACTCTATATATTGCATTTCCACACTGAGTGACAACTAGGTCTCTGTCAAATATAATGTGGAAAGGAAAGGCCTTGCAAAATGTGTATGGACTGATGCGAGACTCTTGAGTACCATTCTCTTCAAATCTGTCAAGATCTTCATAAAAATCTTCTTCTTTAGATTCTTTTTCTTCGATTAAGAACTGAATATGGTCACACTCTTCATTTCTTTGTTGAATAACCTGAACATCATAAAGAAAAGGTGGTTACTACAATAATAGTCTTTTATTCTTCAGTAACAAGTATTGCTCTTAACCTTCATATTAAATTCCAATCTAGACACCTGAAGTGCATGACTGAAAATAAATAGACTCAAATTAAAATTTCTGACAGTGTTACAGCTATCCAAACAATGAACTAATAGCATAAATGATAACTTAAGAACAAGAAAGCCTACTTTTGAAACTCAATTTGCTCTTCAGATCAAGTGATTTGTCAAAGGAAGAGGGTCACCAGGAAGAATCAATTTACAGCATAGAAAACTATAGGTTCCAAAATGTCCCTTGCACGATTAAGAATAACTTGACAATTTGAATCTCTGCTTTCTAGAATACCTAGGTCCCTTTACAATACTTCGAATACATCCAGTGTTTCTATAGTATATGAAACCAAGAAAGGAAAAATAGTGCCAGTGAAATGCTTTTGCTTTAAAATATAATGAAATATAATAATTTAAGTCAGAGGGATTTGGTCTAAATGGGACACTTTCTGTCAGAATCCATTTATATTTCATTTCTATCTATCTCCTATGATCTAAAACCAAATCTCACCTTCGCCTGGATTCTGCAATACTCCCAAGGGGGAGGGGGGATATGCCTGCGGGGTTCTGACTTTCACTTCCTCTATTCTTCCTCTATCCTGCCTCCAGAAGGGGTGAATGCTCCAACAATGGAAGTTTTAAAGAAGAAAGTGGACAGCCATTTGTCTGAAATGGTATAGGGTTACCTGCCTGAGCAGGGGGTTGGACTTGATGACCTCCAAGGTCCCTTCCAATTTTTTATTATTATTATTATTATTATTATTATTATTATTATTATTATTATTATTATTATTATTATTATTATTATTATTATTATTAATTATTAATTATTATTATTATTATTCGCTACAATGTAACCTTTTGTTTATTGCCTCTGGGTCTGCTGGCCATTACAGTGTAACAAATTGCCCCCTTTACTATGCATCTCTCTGAACTTTCTTCTCCCTAACCAGGCAGTTAGGAAAGGGGGGGTGGAAGAAGTATAAACAACTGGAACCTGGCTTATTTCTGTGGTCCCAATAGGAGGTGTGAAGAGCTGTGGAACATCGTACTACAAACGGAGACAGACTGATGCTATCTTCCCTTTCCCACGATGGACTAACCCCCTGGGGATTGGCCGGTCTGAACCGTCCGGATGAACTGTGGGGTGGAGTTTGCTTAGGGACCCTTTAAAGTATCGATCTGTAAAGAATCCCTTAGATCCTGTCTATTATGCCTGCTATCAACTACTCTTAATAAAAGTTCCTGTTGGAAGAAATTGTTTCCAAGAGTTCTGCTTTCTTAAGATGTGGGATTGAAGTGGGTCCTTACACTTTCACAATATAGTTTTGTGAAGCAGATGTCCAGTTATAATATAAACCCCTTTTCATGCATTTACTATTTTTTAACATACTGTAATCATATTCATAAAGAATCTTTCATTACAACCTTATATAGATTCAATAACTCTGTATTAAAGGTTTAAGAAGAGTATCAGTTTTTAAATTGTATTTTGATTTCTCTTCAAATTATATAAAGCTTTTGCCCAAGAAGGAGGAAATTATTCCCCATGTACAAGAGATGTACTCTGTCATATACAAAATCAGTCTCTGGATCCAAGCTGAATTTGCTTCTACTGTTTAAACTATTTGCACTGTTGCTTGGAAAGAAGGCAAGAAGGTGAAAGAAAGAAATAGGATTCCTCCAAAATTAGTTCTATCTGTGACTCACTGTTATGTAAACTGATGATCTAAATAACATACATTTATAGCCTTCCACTGAATTTATATAAACTGCATTGCAGAAAATAATGTACATGGCATGAAACTATTCATTTAATATCACTGACAAACTACCACACAATAAGGTAAAAGAGCCTGAAGATATTGTGTATACCTGGGAAAAAATTCTATTAAATTCAACATACCTTACTTCTGAGTAGGCATGGATTCCACTCTAACTTGAATGCTTAAATGTTATTTTTTCAGCTATATAATACATATTAATGGTATTTAGTTACCAAAATTTTATTGGTTAAAATAGTAATGCATCATTGTGACTGGAAAAATAAGTCTTAATAATCTTAATTTTGTCTAGTCATATGTACAGTATGTCACAGAAGATATTATTTTACAGAAATAAAAGAGTGTTGTTGCTGTTAAAGTTGTTACCAGCCAAATGCTTGATAATTAAAATGTGAATTTAATGGCTTTCAAATATGTTTTAAAGTATTCTATCTGACTTATTGTACCCAGGTTTTACTACTCAAAGATTTTTTTAATAAAGACATAAATTAAGTCCTGTAGAGTAGACTTATTCAAAAACACTTTGTGAACAGTATAACTGAAATGTTCAAAATACTAGTAAATGATTTAATCATTTTCTGTCCAACACCAAATTAACCACCAAATTGAAAAGGTAAACAAGACAAAACATTATCTAGAAAACAAACATCCTACTGTTTCAGGCTGTTTCAAAAGCTGACAATAATACACACTAGCACTGTAAACTTTCATAATTTGATAAAATTCATATTTTAGTATTCTGCTAGTCTCCTGTGTCAATAACTGCAAAGTTCCAAGGCAATGTATAGCCTATGATTTAGAACATAAATTAATGTAAGACAATCATAGGGAGAATATGTGTCTGGGAGAAGAAAGGTCATACATAAAGCAGAAATGAGAAATAAGTCATTAAAGCACAGCTGAAATTAGCAGAATTGTTTGCATTATATTCAGTCCACAATAGGAACACTGAACAAACTAAGTAAGCATTTGATAGTGTAGCGCTACCTCTTTAGAGGCCGCCAATGCCCAGGCCCTCCCAGCCACAACCCCCCTTGTCCAGCCTTGCGGTAATGTTCTTTAGAGATCGGTGAGATGTCTTACAACCGGAACTCATGCAGCATTGATGGGTGGCAGGCTCTTCTTGTTGAGGCAGGACTTTCAGGCACGAACTTAACCGGTCTCAATGGTTGATGCCCCGAAGATGTATATAACAGCTCAGGGCTGCTTTAGCAGCAGGAGTAACAAGCCCCTGAGCAATCGTTCAGAGTCCGATGGAATGGGGGGGGTAGACCCCGGCTCCAGATGGTAATAATAACAATGACGGCCAGTATGTTATGGCAATGGCTCATCCCCCAGGGCAACTCCCCCCACAATGTCCCAGCACCTATGCCAGCAGCGATGGCCACAGTCCAGATGCCTCCAAAGTCCACAACAACAGTTGGCAGCAACAGTTGGCACCACCAGTCTCTTTTCTCCTGGTGCTTCTTCTCTGGAATTCCTCCTCAGGTCTCAGGATTCAAAACCACCCCCCTCCCTTTACTCTTTATTATTAAAAACCGAGGCTAGAAACCCCAGCCAACTCCCTTTCTCCACACTCTCGCTTGCCTCCGTTTCAGATATCCTCCCACGGAGAAAGCAATAAAACTTCACTCTACCTAGCCTCTATTTAAAATACCCTTGATAGAAAAATAAAATAAGCTTCCAGACCTTCTCTTCTCAACTCCAACCCCGGCCTTCTCCTTTCCTTTCCTTTTCTATCCTTCCTCCTTCCACTCACGCCAGCCACACCCAAAGCCAACTGCAGCTGTCCCAATCTTTTCCTTCCCAGTCAGGCTCCTGCAAGCACTCTCAGGCAGTCCCCGCTACAATAGGATTAAAGAATACAGTACATATTACTATATATTACTGATATAAAGGCTCACTTCAAGGTATTTTATCCAAACTTACATGAAAACTCTATTAAAAGATACCTTAAAATTAGATGCAATAATCTCTTTCATCTTTAAAATATTAACTGTTGCAAAAAGTTGCATTTTCCATTCCTAGCAAATTTGACAACATTCCAATTTCCATTGTATCAAAATAATACTGAATAATACAGTTCCATTCCTTGCTTTGTTTTCACAGGACTACAAACAGTTGTATTATCTTCAATATTAGATTGTGAGATTTTTTTCAAGCAGAAACATCTGATCCTAATAAATGGCAGGGAAGTGAAAAATAAAACCAACTCCCTTTCTATGAACTCTCTACATTCCATAAGCTTTCACGCAGCTTTAGAGATAGATGTGCTAAAGAAGAGGCTAAACAAGAATACCAGTACCAGGCTTCTGGTTTTGCGCAGTAGTGCAAATAACTGAGGGATCGTGGGGCTCTGCACCCTACAGCTGATTCTTTTCTGTATGGGGACCCTAAATGGGCCTAAAGCAGGGGTAGTCAACCTTGGCTCTTTTATGACTCGTGGACTTCAACTCCCAGAATTCCTGAGCCAGCTGTGCCCCGCTGATTGCAGAGAAATGGCAGTCGATCCAATTGTTCGGGGAAAGCCCTCCAGAAACCAACAGAAGAAAGGCTAGCTTTACTTCAGAGTCTAGCCCAAGCTACAAGCAGCTGAAGCCAAAAAGCACTAAGTTAAGCTTGATAGTAAACAACGTGTTTGGAACTGGGTAAGAATACCGATTCTCTCTCTTCTACTTGATAATTGATCTTCTGGAAAAAAAAACCCAAGAATCAAAAATCCTCCAAAAGAGAGAGGAGGGGTTTCTTTGCTCCACCCTCCCACAGATAGAAGTGGAGAATTAAATTTTTATGGGGGACAAAAATATACTAAAATGAAATGAATATAAGACTTAAATCTGGATAAGTGTGAAATTGGTGGAATTAGTTAAGATTTTCTTGATGAAAACAGAAGGCAATTGCCTGTTTTGAAAACTGAAAAATGAACTGGTGCTGACATCTAGTGGTGGATGAAAATATACAATTATAGCTGCTCTAATACAGGAACTGGCAAGCCCAGGAAAAGATAACTTTTCTGACCTTCAACACTTTAATTAAACAAATAACAGCTATAATAAAGAAAAGAAAACATTTTGGGCTATCTACAAAGTGAGAACCATAAAACTTAGGGGGAAAAATTGACCTTCCTGGATTATAAAGA